TTTAAAAATGCACAATACATTTAAAAATAATATTAACCAAATTAATAAACACTTATTTTTAACACTAATCAAGTAAACAGTGGATTGCCTTTGGAAAAAAAGCTTCACAAATGAACGGTAAACTGTGGGTTGCCCAAGTAGCAAGAAGAGATTCAAAGTCAACAATTGTGGGTATGGGTAAGACAGATTATTTGGGACAGCTTCAAAAAATGGTAAAAGGGTGAGCAAGTTAATTTCAAATCTATATATAAGAGCAACTTCATCCCTAACTTTTCATTATATGTTCATATTGAATCCCGTATCATATACACTATCTAGATCTTCGTTAAATTGTCTGATAATTCTTGTGAAAATAAATTTCATTTTCAAATTTCATATGACATCCACAAACAAGGATCAAATCCCTCTTCCAAGCAGCTTTATCGAGCTTACTTGGGCAAGAAAGGCAAAAATAACTTCGTTTAAAAAATACCATACTTAAGAATTAACAAAACAGACCGTAGATATTGAATATAAACTCAATAGAATTCTTCATTTATTCTTGCTGATGGCGTCCTTTCTGACTTGTTATATTGAATTGCAATCTCTTCTATATCATAAGTTCACGTGATAATTTAAGTATTTAAAATAGATTTGAAAATTTTTCATTACTAAGTACTGATTACATGATTACAATGTAAAATGAGAAACGTGTTCCTTTAAAATATTTAGGGACCTCCTACTTACTTGCAACAACTTCTTCCTTATGAGCCACTTCTTTCTCCAAGATTAAAGTGCTTTTTCGATCTTCGAGCTTTCTCGTTGTGTATTTTAATAGATTTGAAAAAAAATTTGTTACTAACTACTGATTGTAAGATGAGAAACCCGTATGCATGGCTTAGTGTACAAATCGACAAGCTCACAGGCTGATGGAACATGAGCAGTTACTATGGCACCTGACTGAATTCTTTCTCGAATAACATTGCAATCAATCTCTATATGCTTGGTGCCTTCATGGTAAACTGGATTAGGAGAAATGTGGGGTGCTGCTTCACATCACAGAATAATTAGCCGGTTGTGAATGCTCTACCCGCAAGTTATCCAACAAATATTTGAGCCAGGTAGCTCACAAGCAAATAAGGCCATGACTCTATACTGTGACTCTGCTGAGGATCTTGACACTGTTGTTTGTTTTTTGGTTCACCAAGAAATAAGAGCTCCTCCAAGAAAAATGCAAAACCGATCATACACTGTCTTGTGATTGAACATCGAGCCTAATTTGCATCACAAAATCCCTTTAGTAGCAAATTTCCTTTGACTGAAAAATATAATCCTTTCCCAGGTGTAACTTTAAGATACCGCAAAAGGTGATGGACAACATCTAAATGAGGCTTTCTTGGTTCTGCATGAATTGGCTTAGAATGTGAACTAAATAACTTATCTCTGGTCTTGTAATAGTAAGATAAATGAGTCCTCTCACCAGTCTCCTATAAGTGGATGGACACTTCAAGCAATTGTTTGGCCTCAAGCAAGTCTGCTTCATCTAAGATATCAAGAGTGTACTTTCGTTGGGATCTTGAAATGCTATCACTAGAACGAGCAACTTCAACACCAAGAAAATAGCATAATATGCCAAGGTCCTTGATGTGAAATTAGTGAGGATGGACTCTTTAAGAGTAGCAACTTCATTATCATCATTCCCGATTATGATCATGTCATCTACATAGATGCCAAGGTCCGGTTCTCGATACTACCTTGAAAATCAAAATTTAATTTGGTTCTCCCGAATTCCTCTTTTTGTTCGTGCATTGCATCAAATCTTTGAAGATTAGACCCCAAATTATCTAACGTAATTTTTCAATTTCTTTCCTCTACAGCAAAACCTAATGGTATTCAAAATTCATATTTAAATAATATTATTATTTTTGCCTAATGTTCAATCCATACCTAAGAAACCATCTCATTTTTGCCTAGTTAAAGAAATTACAGCAATACATTGGACTGG